CATATCCGAGACATGTCTGGATTGATCAAGTTCAAACTTCACACACACAAGGTACATCATGTCACAAATATGTATGTGCATTTGTTTCATGATCCCATTAACGATAGCCAAATGGCGGCCGCTTTAAGGCCGAAAATGCATTGAAATCGCACATTTTCACCATTCCGAACCCGGATCTCAGTTATGCATGGACGGATTTCATTCAAATTTGGTACATACATTAAACATAATAGGACCTTGATGCACGTCATTTTTTTTTTTTCAGATCAAGTTCGAAATGGCCGACTGACGGCCATTTTCTTAAAGAATTCAGTTCTGGATCCGTATCCAAGACATGTCTGGATTGATCAAGTTCAAACTTCACACACACATGGTGCATCATGTCACAAATAGATATGTGCATTTGTTTCATGATCCGCTTAACAATAGCTGAATGATGGCCATTTTAAGACCGAAAATGCATTGAAATCGCACATTTTCACCATTCCGAACCCGGATCTCAGTTATGCATGGACGGATTTCATTCAAATTTGGTACTTACATTAAACATAATAGGACCTTGATGCACGTCATTTTTTTTTCCCGGATCAAGTTCGAAATGGCCGACTGGCGGCCATTTTCTTAAAGAATTCAGTTCTGGATCCGTATCCAAGACATGTCTGGATTGATCAAGTTCAAACTTCACACACACATGGTGCATCATGTCACAAATAGATATGTGCATTTGTTTCATGATCCGCTTAACAATAGCTGAATGATGGCCATTTTAAGACCGAAAATGCATTAAAATCACGTATTTTCACAATTCCGGAACCAGATCTCAGTCATGCATGGATGGATTTTGTTCAGATTTAGTACAATGTGTTGTACATATGCAGGTGCATTTCGGTCATGATCTGCTTTGAATGTATATGTCACTCAAATATGAACGGAACGGGGACGTGTCATTGACAATGACTTGTATTTCTAAAATTACGAAATCTTACCTGAACAATTGACCTTAACCAGGGAAATGTCTTTTTCCACGACTCATCAAAACCAGCCTCACGCCGTTTCTGTGTTTCTACACGCTTCCGTTTCTGTGCTGTGCTAGCGGTGATTGTACGTTTTAGCCGGGCGGCATCACCTTTTTTTCCTTTACATGTTTTGTCATATAGCATCTCGGTGTTTGCAACTTGAGTGACAAATTGTTCCCCATTGACAGCGTCTGTACTTCACACGTGTTTAACAATGGGACTGTTTAATTTGTCCAGGCAAGTTCAAACCGCCGTGGCGTAGACGGTGATAATTTATGCAGTGCTACATGTGAGCGGGTCAAATGGACGTAAACAATGCATCCTATTAGCATGGCGGTGAAGTTGTAAGCATGGCGGTCCGAGCCCAAGCGTGGCGGCGGGGTCGCCAAGCATAGCGATGCCGCCATGCTTTGTTCTATGTGGGGAGAACACTGATGTAGTTGTATCAAGTCGCTGCCGTAGGGAGATACTCCTTTGTATCGCTTACCAACATTGTATTGTACTTCTTTCCATAATGAATTACATATATACACCTTTGGAAACGGTGCACTTTCACCCCACCCTTCCCAAATTACGACGCTATCGATGTCTATGTATGTAGATGACTACTGCGTTGTGTAAGGGCTTCTCGTACGTAAAATGGGGCACATTCCCAGTAAAAATATCTATTTACACTGTACAAATGAAATGAATCGACATGCGATGATTAATAAAACAATTTGACAATTGGTGTTTCATTTGTCCTCCACACAATGATTTGTTATGACGGTGATTTGTTATGAGGGGTATTTTTTCCCGGCCCTTTTCATCGGAAATTACGAATTCATTGGCTCTAATATATCCTAGTTTACTTTAGTTATTTCATCCGAGTATTCTGTACATTGTTTTTACCTAGCAAAGGAAACAATCAGTGTCTGGCTTTGTTATATTTACACTACTGCAACACCTTATGTGGGCCCCCAGCGTGAGCCTTGTGTTTCATTATTTTTTTCATTGAATATTACACAGCACGATATCCCTCAAATCGAAAGGCACATTTATTGCTCGAGTTACTGTTCCTATTAAGTTAAGCCATGGAGCAAAAATGAAAATATGGTTAAGCTGAATACCATGCTTCATGTGGAATGTATAGACCGTGATGTCAGCATTAACTACTGGATGCACAGTGGAAACCACTGGGGCAACGCCACGCTGACCGGCGTCTCCTGCCTGATAAAAAAAACATGCGGGACGGGCTGCAGGGTTTTAATTAAGCCGTCGTTGATGTTTTCAAAACAAAAATTAGCTAATAGGTTTTGTTTCGAGCCACTTAAAATGTCCTGTGTGCATTTTCGTTTGGTACACATCACGTGCGACGTGCCCCCAGATAGTGTCGTAATTTTACCATGTCGATTCGCGGGATATAAAAACCAATCGAAGGGCTCTAAAGATTGTGATACCTTCCTTATAATATATGTAACTAAAAATAAATGAATATAATATTTATTGACACACATATTGATAGTGGTTTGAATTTTAGATATTTAGATTGTGATTGTTTGCCAGAAATTTACATAGTTGTTCTTGCTACTTTACGTTTTCCGTGTTAATTAAATTCTTAAAATATTTTTAAATGCCCTATATAGACCTGATTAGTTTTCAGTTGATATCTATGTATATTAATTAATTATCTAATTTGCCCATTTTCAACTTGTTAATAACTTTATCTCACAAATTATTGTATATATTCTACTTAAACTTTGTACCTAGTTGCTCTTGGATAAGGTGGCTCCTTATTTAATAGATTAATTCATTACGTTTGATTTATCGGCCAATGCATGACTTAATTCAAACATCGATGATCGAGAGATGCTGAATTGTTTGAATTCACTATGTTCAATTACCCACCATAGACTCCGGTCAGTCAAAATGACTATTTTGAACTGTTGCTTTTTCCTGTCCGAGTTTCTAGCTTGGGTCATTGCCGCAGCCGCAGCATCCAACATTCTAGCTGGTAGGATAAGTTTTTCTTGTCTTTTTACCCTCGTGCCGTTTTCCCCTTTGTGTGTTATGCTTTCAACAACAAAGAAATTAAAACCTGGCGCCACTACGTAATCACATGTTGATTTCATGGCGGCACCTTTTACAACTGTAATTCGTTTTCCCTCATGCATGTCGTCTTTTATTTTTAATGTATTTAGAAATGGATAGATGCACTGGCAACGCCAGAGGCTCACCGCCGGTATTATCTCCTCAGTCTATGAGGCGGATTTGTACTCAGTGTACACAGCAATTGCAGGAATGGAACCTGCATACAAAGTGCTATCGCTGTTTTACATGCATTTGGGGTTCGGGTGTCTGCCCAGAGAATATTTGTAATCTGCTGGGGTTCGGAAGCCTGGGAGTCGTTCCAGCAGTATGTCAAAATAGCCGAGACTGACCGTGACGCTCGTTCGCGAAAAGGTCACGTGGCAAGTGCTGCCGGCAAGGCTGTGCCCCTGGAGGTCTTTCCTCCTATGGAGCCCGGCGCCGGTTTTGCCGCTGAAATGAGGGTATTAGTCGAAGGACTGTCAGAGCAATTTGCGTCCCTGGCAGGCAGAGTAGATCACCTGCAGGCAGAGCGAGCTGTCTCCACTGCGGCCTCTCGACCAGCAAGTAGGAAGAAAAACAGAAAGCACCGTTTGCATTCTAAACACGTCTCACGTCTCTTCCGGGACCCCCCCCCCCCCCCCCCCCCGCTGATACGGGGGAGACCGAGGCTCAGGCTAGTGGCAACAGATCTCCTCGGGAACCTCAGACACATAACACCAACGGTGACGTGGGTAGCCAAGGCAGGGCGTTCGGGTCTGGACATACATTGCCCCCCCTCGCTTTCAACCAGCCAGGGTTCAACCGACCCTGTCATGAGACGCACTCTCGAACATGCTCTCACTCACATATTTAGGCTGAGAGGTGGCAGTTCGCTCGTGTTGGATACAGTGGGTACCCCGGGCGATCCCTCAGAGTCCACATTGCATAATGACTCGTTTAGTCGCGCCATTGGGGTGATGCGGAATATTATCAGTCCAGGTGACACTATGTATATTCCCCCACCCTCGATCCTAAAGCAGGCGCTTACGGTCGCTTCGACGTTGATGGGATCACAGGCGCCGAGATCCAGCATGTCTTCCCTGGTCCAGCCGAGCGAGTTGGTCAGCCGCACAAACGCGGTTTTATACGCGTGTGTTTTCGCCAGCGAACTGAGTCACGGGGTACCACAAACTTCTGTTTTGCTAGCCGGGTGAAGGGGGACGGCCGCATTCTCATCGACCCATTCTGAGACTATCCAACATGCCCTGAGGGCTACTACTGTGCAGCGGGACGCGGTTTTATATGCGTGTGTTTTGCCGGCAAACTGAGTCAGGGGGTATGCCACCGCCTCAGTTACGCAGGCTGGAGATCCTCCACCCTCTTTGATGGGGAGATAGCGGGGGCAGTCGCAGAGCTTCGGGGTGTGAACCAAATGGTTCAAGTCGAATCTGCTAGCCAGTTGGCCGTTGCCAAGGGGAAGCGGAGGGCGCCCCAAGCACAGAAAGCACAACGCCCTAGGATTAGCTCTGCAAAACAGAGTCATCCAGGAGGCAAGCGCTCGCACCCATCCACGGGAGGGAAGGGTAGCAGTGCGCCCCCGGGAAAGAGAGGACCAGATGGTGGCTCCTCCTCCTCGGGTGGTCATCAACCCCGGCAGCGGGGTAAGCATGTTTGACGCTTACCTCTGGGACGGGGGGGATGGGCCTGCGTTCGGCAAGAGATCAGGCTACAGCTTAGTAACCCCAGTGATCTCTGGGGAAGCTCAACTCACGGTAGAGGAGGACCCCCCCCCCCCCCCCTGCAACCGCCGAACCAATGGCCACAGTTCCCTGTCGCACACAGATTGCGCCGGTGCATTCCGGCTTGGAGACAGTGGGTAACTGATCCCTGGACGCTCCAGGTAGTCGCACACCGTTACAGAATACCACTGACATCTATCCTTCGCCCCTGTCAGTGCCCCCCCTCCCCGTCGGGGGCACTGCCCGGGGACCCCCACAAGGCTGAAGGAATCAGACAGGAAGTAGACAGTTTGCTAAGAAAGGACGTCATACACAGAATAGTTCAGCCGGCACTAAGTCTGGGCTTCTACTCAAATGTATTTGTAGTACCAAAATCTACAGGCGGCTCTGGACCTCAGCAGACTAAGCCAGTATGTGCTTCTCGATCGGTTCCGCATGGAGACACCATCCAGTGTCCTATTCTCCATCCACCGTCTCGACTGGCTAGCCTCTTTAGACTTATGCGACGCTTACCTGCACATACCGATGCACCCAGCGAGTTGCCCTCTCCTTCGATTTGCCCATCTGGGCCAAGTATTCAAATTTCGGGTGCTCCCCTTCGGGTTATCCACAGCGCCCTACGTGTTCACCAGAGTGATGAATCAGGTAGTACTGCTGCTCCACCAAATGTCGGTACACGTCAATCCGTACCTAGACGACTGGTTGATACACAACCCAGACAAGGGCTTATTAGCCAGACATGTAGGGCTTACACAGGATTTACTTCACCAGTTGGGCTTTCTAGTAAATCACAAGAAGTCCCGACCCGACTCAACAGTGTTTCTGGGCATGGAGTTCGACACCAAAGTAGGCCTGGTTCGCCCATCTCAAGCGCGTTGCTTAGCGCTTAGCAACCTAGCAGAATGCCTAGTCAGCGTTTCTTCAGTGTCTCTCCGAGAACTAATGCGGCTCATCGAAAAAATGACCTCTGTTCGAAGGGTAGTTCCCCAGGTCGCATTATGCAGCCGCCCGGTCCAAATGATAGTCGAAACACCGGTAGTACTGCCAGACATACCGGACTTGCTGTCCCAACTAGTCCCCCGCCATAGAAAACTCTTTGGGGTCAAGTCTAGCCGATTGTCCCATTATTAGGAGACTGTTTACTGCTTTCCATAATCAGAGGCCCAGGGCTCGTTCAAGGGGACTGTCCAATTGGGACCTGTCGGTTGTTTTATCAGCCCTAAGCAGACCTCCCTTTGAGCCCCTCGTTTCAGCGCCACTCAAGTTTTTGATGTGGAAAACAGTCTTCCTACTGGCCCTCGCTTCAGGTAGGCGCCGGTCAGAGCTAGGCGCACTGTCCTTCACGGACGGTTGTGCCACCTTTATGGACGATCAAGTTGTACTAAAGACACGAATCAGGTTTCTCGCCAAGAACCAAATCCCAGGACACGATCCCCATTCGATAGTCATCCCCCGGCTGTCAAATATTGTCGGTCCGGAGGATCAGGAAGAATTGCTTCTCTGCCTGTTCCGAGCGCTGAGTTTCTACGAGAACCGTACTAGGTTTTCCAGACGGGGAACCAAATACATGTTTTTGTGTTACGGCCCTGGCAAACAGGATAAGCCGGCTTCCCCGACTTCTATCTCCAGGTGGATTACTGCAATTGTCCTGGAGGTCTATAATACACTATCCTCCTCAACACAGAGCTTGCAGAGACACCAAGTACAAGCGCATGAGGTTTGTGCGATTGCCAACTCACTCGTGTTAGCGTCAGGCGCCCTCCTCGAACACATTCTGAGGGCAGGCTTCTGGAGAACGCAGAACGTCTTCATCAACTACTACATAAGAGACACCCAATCTATTGAACAGGGTCTCTTCAGGTTAGGCCCTGTCGTAGCGGGACAGGCTTTGGTTACTGACCCAGTCCGAACGACCGCAGGGGCCCATGCGCATAGACGATAAGTCAGTCTCAGCATTCTTGCGGGCAGATTGTCTGTTCCACTAGCACTTCCTGGAAGCTCCCAGGTTTTGCTTCTCTTGACCTACGCCCTCATGCGAACTGTTTCGGTCCTACTTCAAGCGTATCACCCCCGAATTCGGCTTGGGTCTAGCTTTCTCGGGCGTACCGAACCCTGTCACCACAGCAGCATTGGCTTCTTGCTTCGGGGACAGCACAGGCAAGGTAAGACACCACCCTTCTTGGGTCTTAACTTAGGTTTTTGAGTTTGTTTTCATCCTGGACTGGGAAAAGACTTTCATCATTCTTCCTTTTTCTGTTTGCTCGGAAAAAACCGCCACCTATCGGTGTCTGACTCTGCCTACAGTTCATTTTGATTTTGTTCATTTTCTAATGATATCTTCTGTTCTTTAATTGAAATGAGCATTGCTAACAGCGGAGCTATCTCAGCCGCTAGGCTGCTTTTTTTATTTATTGATTTCAATGGAAATTGGAGTCAATGACCTCAAAATATTATACTAGTATATAAGATGCATGCAGCTGTAATTTTTGCCATAGAGGGTGCACTTTATATTCCAGCAATGTTACTACTTGTTCCTATGAAAAGAAGGATGTACCATAACAGATTTGTTTTGTTTATGTGAATTCCTTATTGATTACATAACTGTTGTTGTCTTTTCTACTACAGGTAAAATCCAAGCAATTAAACGTGGCGTACCAAAAGGAGACAAGAAGCTGAAGAAAGAAGCACAGATAGAAATCGCTAAATTAGAAGCTGAACTTCACCAGAGACAAGAATTAGAAGAACAGGAATTCAAACTTTCTACAGAATCCACTGGATTGGTGAGAAACATTTAATTGGTTTTTGCATCTTCTCAGAAACTATGGTAAATAGCGTGCAGTGTTCAATTATATAGGACACTGTACATCATTGCACACCACTGTACATCATTGCACACCACTGTACATCATTGCACACCACTGTACATCATTGCACACCACTGTACATCATTGCACACCACTGTACATACCTTAGTGGTGTTAGTAGGATTACAGGTATACTGAGTCAATTGTTGATCGATTTTACCCTAATTAGAATCATAATAATGCATTTAAGAAAAGTGCTTGTATATGTAAGGCAAAAACCTTCCTGTTAGTATAGTAAATACAGTATACACTTCACAATAATGGCCTCTATTATAGTGTATGTACATGTATATAGGTTTGTGAATGAATTGTACTGCAATATTGGCAGTAAGACCATGGTGATGCATGTAATAGGAAGGGGTAAGTCCATTATGATTGGAGGGACATGGCCAGGATAAATTTAGGAGGGGCGTGGTTATGTTGAATTGAGGAGGGTATGTGATTATAGTATCATTTAGGCCACATTCTCTCTCCACATGTATCTTATTTGCTTATACAGTGTGTCAATTGCCGACACTGATATACAGAGTTTCACTCTTCAGCACACGTTAATTTCATAACTACAGGTGAATGAGGTTGCTGCACATGTAGATAAGTTGTGTGTAGATGATGCAACAAGTGATAAACCGCAGCGGATATCCAAAGCACAGAGGAGGAAGGTAAGAATAGTTAAGGTGTAGGTTACAAAGTTGACAGCCATCTCAACATTGTCATTATTTTGGAAATGTAATTTCCCTTTCTCTTATGTTCATGCACACCATGTGCATTTGTTGTTTTTGTATAAATGAACAAATCTCATCTATGACCATCACTGTGGCCACGTTGTGTGGCTTTTATTCATCTATGACATGTGTAAGAATAATTCAAATTTTTTCAGAATAAAAAAGCGGCCAAGGATAAAGAGCGGGAAAAGCTGATAGCAGAGGGCGAAGAAGCCAATATCCATGGTCCAAGGAATGTTGAGGCACAGAAATTAAAAATGATTCTCAAAGAACGAGGACTTGGAATCAAAGAGGTAGGTTGGCGTCCACAGTGTTCAATGCTTACCACACCATAGTCACATATACACAATACTTTGTATGTCATGGATGTAACGCATGCTGACAATCTCACTTCATCAAAATTTACTATCATCAAATGTGTATAGCTCATTATTATTATGCATTGAAATTCTTTTAAAAGGAATGTTTTGATGTCACTACGACGCTATGACCTTTGTTTGTCCAGTTTTTAAGTTGGATTTCACGAATAACTCAGGATCTTGCAGTGAATGAAAAATGGTTTTATTTGACTCAAATCACTATTGTCATGTATGTCAAACTTATAACATGCTTACATGTATTTATTGAGAAGGACACAATTTGACAGTATAGTCCCAGCATAACCCCTAAGGCAGCACACTCACCCATTTCATATACAGATAAATTCTACATACAATGTAGTTGGCGCAGTTGGTATTGATGAAAAAAATTGATAGCTTGCGCCAGAAATTGTGCCACTTTTGTTATGTGGCAACTTGAAAGACCTTGGCATGACCAAACAAGCATTAATCTTGCCATGGACATAGGTCCATGATTATGCACTCAGAGGTACACTCTGATAAAGATGTTTTATCAGAGCTGAGTAAAGCAAGACTGTGAAAATATTCTATTTGAATCTTAATGATTTGGTGTAATGTACCAATTTAATGATAATTAACAGCAATGTACATGTATCATGGGTGACAATATTGTGCAACAGTCTGGGTTCTAATTTTCAGGGAGTAGTTATTTTCAAATTGTATTAATTGCATTCCTTTGTCCCAGGCTATTGCGATGTGAAGTCTATAATCTTTAGATGAGACATTTATATCTTTTGTTATTACCCTAATTCAGCTAGATTCAACACTATTCATGCCATTTATGGCAATTAATTCAGTAATTTGTCTTAAAAGACGGTGGTTGTCATGCTACGTATGTGCTGGATATGGATCTCATATGAAGAAAGATGGCAACTTTGATGGTTGCACAGACCAATAATAATAAAGGGAATGAATCTGTTAATTAGTTGGCTATCACTAAAAAATGTTCAACTTTCCCCCCAGATACCTTCTGATGGTCACTGCCTTTACAATGCTATACAAGATCAGTTATATACACAGGGCATTGAGGTAAGTTTAATGGCATACACAAATATCAAACAAGTCTAAAATTATTTCCAAACTGCAATTTTTGCTGTATTTTAAATCTGATCATCAGACATGACTTTTACAGTTAAACAGCCATGTCCACTATCAAGTGTGGAATGACCATTACACTTTGAATTATGATGACTGCTTCACTGAAGTTAGACTTTTTCAATGATGAAAACTGAACAATAAATACACCAACGGTTATCAAAATTTTGCGAGACGTTTTCCATGGGTGGACATAATTTGTGAAGGGGGCTTGCTATTTTTCTATATCATGCATGTATGTACTTCTAATAGTATTGTAATTACAACAAACTCAATCAGTTCTGCTCCAGAGATATCCAGAATCCATGTTTGTTGAGGATACACCATTCAGTTTCTATTCCTTCTTTTTCTAGTAATGAACATGGTAATCTGTCAATGTATTACTCAAACGTGCTTTAAAACACCTAGGCAATAGAATGCACCCCTTGATCTCTTAAGATTGTAAAACATTCCTATATTTGTATTATATACTATGACTAGCCAGTCATTTATTTGCTGAGTATTTGTGTGTATTAAGCCATTTCATATGTTTTTTTCATCGAAATGTGGTAATTACTATCAATATAATATAATATGATTTGATTTTTTCAGATGTATACTTTATCAAAATTACGACAGCTCACATCAGATTACATGTTATCCAATTGTGATGATTTCCTGCCATTTCTCATCAACCCAAACACGGGTGATCTGTTAACACATGGTAAGTCAAAGCTGATTATTGACTCCTAATCTACAGTTTCCAGGTAATACTGACTGCTTTTTGTGATAATTACGTCTTAACACATTGCCGGCTGAGGCTGCATATTGGCATCCATTTCAGATATATGTGAAATATTTGTTTTAAATAATGTCAAATGAATATTGTATCAAAAGTTTAAAATTGACAGACATCTGACTGTCTTATTTATTGAAAGCATGATCTTTGTATGCTCTTTCAGAACTGTCTTTCAGGGACTTTTAAATTTTAATATACTCTACACAAATAGTTAATATTGAGGTTTTATGTTCACCAGATGAGTATGAACAATACTGTAATAATGTCACTCACACAGCTGCCTGGGGAGGACAACATGAGGTTAGTTACTATATATTATTACATATGTACTGCAGTTTATTTTGATTGGTCCCTGAAATCAAAATCGGTATTTCCACAACCCATATGCAAATGAGGTCTGAGAGCAAACAAAGTAGTCCATTCAGGAGTACAGTTTTTCGGAATAAACAATATTTAGAAGTACGATATTTTCCCCTTGGGGTACATGAATATACTTGCCGAGTGAAATGAAATTT